TTGACTTATAATGGGGAGGTCGAGAAATTGACCTGACCTTAGGTCATCGATATCAAAATTTCGAGATATACAAATTGTAGCTACTAATGACCTTATAACCTCCTGCGACTTTCAAAGGCCTCCGACATCTACTGTAGCTCTGGCACGGTGACAAAGTTGCAAAAAAGTGACTTGAGGTTGGGTCATTCAAAGTGACCTGGTGACCTGACCTTAAAAGGTAGGAGGTTCAAACTTGCACACCATGTGTAAAATTGATGAGGTTATAGGCATACCAAATTTCGCGGCGCTACGCGCCGCGGTTTTCCCGCTATTCGCGAAAAACCTCAGGGGGGGGCGGATATCCGCCCCCCCCCGTCGGTGCGAGGGTTAAACGACATAGCCCACAAATGACTTTAGGTTACGCATGACCTTGAGAGGTCAAATTGGTATTGGGAAAGTAAGATTAGATGCTGGCGAGTCGATTGGTGCCATTTTTAGTGGTCTAGCTCTACTAGGTGGGCCACAATCTGCTGTGCAAATTTGGGCCACGTGACCTTTGCTCACCTCTGTAGGGCAAACGGCTGGGAGTACCACCGAATGACTCGGACTGTGGATTGGGCATGTCAAGACCTACATTGTGTGCGAGTTTCAGCTTGATCTAAGGTGTCCTGAATCTGGGCTGAATCCGGGCTGCGAAGTATGGAGTGTCGTTTATTTGTACATTTTGCCCTGCCGAGGTCAAACGGGGTCACATATCGAGAAGCGGTTTCTAAGGAAACTTACTACGTTCTATGGGCTACCCAATGATGTGCTTTGATTTGGAATTCGGTCAATCCATCTACTCGAAAGCTGCTGTGCAAGTGTATTTTCGACATAGCCCACAAATGACCTTAGGTCATCGCATGACCTTGAGAGGTCAAATGGGTATAGGGAAAGTAAGATTAGATGCTGGCGAGTCGATTGGTGCCATTTTGAGCGCTCTAGCTCTACGGGGTGGGCTACAATCTGCTGTGCACATTTGGGCCACGTGACCTTTGCTGACCTCTGTAGGTCAAACGGCTGGGAGTGCCACCGAATTACTCGGAGTGTGGATTGGGCATCTCAGGACCTACATTGTGTGCGAGTTTCAGCTTGATCGGAGGTGTCCCGAATCTGGGCTGAATCCGGGCTGAAACGTATGGAGTGTCGTTTATTCGTACATTTTGCCCTGCCAAGGTCAAACGGGGTCACATATCGAGAAGAGGTTTTTAAGGAAAGTTACTACGGCCTATGGGCTACCCGATGATGTGCTTTGATTTGGAATTCGGTCAATCCATCTACTCGAAAGCTGCTGTGCAAGTGTATTTTCGACATAGCCCACAAATGACCTTAGGTCATCGCATGCTCTTGAGAGGTCAGATGGGTATTGGGGAAGTAAGATTAGATGCTGGCGAGTCGATTGGTGCCATTTTGAGCGCTCTAGCTCTACTGGGTGGACCACAAGCTACTGTGCAAATTTGGGCCACGTGACCTTTGCTGACCTCTGTAGGTCAAACGGCTGGGAATGCCACCGAATGACTCGGACTATAGATTGGACATGTCAGGACCTACATTGTGTGCGAGGTTCAGCTTGATCGGAGGTGTCCCGAATCTGGGCTGAATCCGGGCTGATACGTATGTAGTGTCGTTTATTCGTACATTTTGCCCTGCCAAGGTCAAACGGGGTCACATATCGAGAAGCGGTTTTTAAGGAAAGTTGCTACGAGATATGGGCTACCCAATGATGTGCTTTGATTTGGAATGTGTTCAATCCATCTACTCGAGAGCTGCTGTGCAAGTGTATTTTCGACATAGCCCACAAATGACCTTAGGTCATTGCATGACCTTGAGAGGTCAAATGGTCATTGGGAAAGTAAGATTAGATGCTGGCGAGTCGATTGGTGCCATTTTGAGCGCTCTACCTCTACTGGGTGGGCCACAATCTGCTGTGCAAATTTGGGCCACGTGACCTTTGCTGACCTATGTAGGTCAAACGGCTGGAAGTGCCACCGAATGACTCGGACTGTGGATTTGGCATGTCAGGACCTACATTGTGTGCGAGGTTCAGCTTGATCAGAGGTGTCCCGAATCTGGGCTGAATCCGTGCTTAATCTGGGCTGAATATGGGCTGTATTGACGAACATTCAGCATTCACTATTCCGGTTAGCACTTTGTGCAAACGATCGTTATATTGGTACGATCTTGAAACGTCCAAGTTATTCACTCTTCTAAATAAGTTAGCTATAAAGAACGCCTGCAAGCTTCCACACAGGACGGGAAATATGCTATCGGCGATGCACATTTCGATAGGCGTTATCACAAGTGTATTCGCGGCCATTGGGGCGACGTAAGAAAAGAAGAAAACAACTGGCCCCAAGAACTTTAAATTATCAGTTAGCATGCACCTTTTCCTTGATATGTAGAGAATTTACCATTAATTGTTAGAGAAAATTGCATTTAAGATCTTCCATTTATGCTTTTTTTCATCGTTTGCACAGTATGTTCTTTTAATAAGCTAGAAACACTAATTAGAAATAGTTCCCGCATCATCAAGAACGATAGGGAAGGCTTGAAGTGAATACAATAATCTAAACGGTTTTGTAATCCATGTGAAGACACTTCTAAAATTGCCTGTAGAAATATTAAAGGCAAAAGTTCAACTTTTTCACAAGACGGATGGCTATAAACCCATTCAACGTGTGACAACTCAGCCGGTATATCGTCGCCTACAGCCCAGCTTTCCCTAGTGACCGATAGAGGCGCTGCTATCGATGTCCGCCCGTGCCGCCTAACGTACAATTCATCCGGTTACCAACCGTGCGGCTTAGGGTGCAATATTCATCCACTTTTTCTTGGTAATTTCGCCGGCCGCCGGCCCAGCACATATTCTTAGTTTCCGTAATATTTTCAAGCGATTCAATGCAATCATCAGAACAACTTTTTTCTGGCCACCGGCCGGCGACCGGCCGTGCATGATCAACTCATGTGATGGATTCGCAATATTTCTCAGCGATCAGAGCACGGCATCGCCGTTCTATTTTCAAGCGATTCACGACTTTAGCGCAAATTGTAATGATATATTCTGACCCCCCCCCCCCCCCTGAACATGTCAGCAAGCCACTACAGACCACACGCTTTTGACAGGCGTTTGCCGGCAGTGATCGCTTTTTCGTTCTGTGACCTGATCCAGTTTGACCAAGTGGCCCTGCGTATTTCTGGCGAACCAGACGACCAATGAGACCCCAGGTTGACCAAATTGATCTATTCTGACCCCACCCCACCACTGCCAAACGACCTTTATGGTAACCAAGACGACCGATGAGATCCCAGGTATGTACGTGACCCAGTTGACCGCTGTAACCCAAGCGAGTTTTGTGGCCTGATGTAATTTGACCAAGTGGCGCTGCGTAACCCTGTTGACCGCTGTGACCCAAACTCTGACCTGACATGACCCAGCTAACCCCAAAGATAATCCCTCTGATCGGACTTGACGCAGCTGACCTTTGTGGTGAACAAGTGACCTATTCTGACCAGCCCCCCAGCTGACCTTTATAGTGACCGAGACGACCAATGAGATCCCAGGTACGTGACCCAGTTGACCGCTGTGACCCCTACAAAATGACCAATGTAAGCTCCGTGATCCGGCCTGACCCATCGCGACCTCCGTTGACCCAAATGTCCTGACCGTACCTACTGCGACCAGTTTGACCTGGACTGACCTATCGTGACCTTGGCTGACCTCTGTGACCTGGCCAGACCCATCGTGACCTCATGGTGACCTCACCTGAACCCATGTGACCTTTTTGACCTCTTTGACCTGAAACGACCCGTTAATTACATTTTCAGTCATATTTGCAAATATCAAGCAAGTACCAAGTACTCAAGCAAATACCAAGCAAGTACCAAGTACTTTTGCAAGTACCAAGCAACCATCAAGTACTTTTCCAAGTACCAAGCAAGTGCCAAGTACTTTTGCAAGTTGGAACAGATTTTTCGCTAATATCTAAGCTTCTAGACGTCCAATGGACTCAGGAAAAACACCAATCGGTTTCAAATTTTTTCGCCAGCCATTTATCACTCCCATGCGTAGCGATAGCGAGCTAAGTCTATATTACTATTTGAGGAGGGTGCGTCTGTCCGTTACCGAGGTCCGACTTGGTGGTGCTTTGCATGGACTACAGGCCAGACCGTTGCACCTAGCCTGGTGAAATTTGCACAACTTATAGATGAAGGATGGGCGACGTGCTTTTGAGGGGTCTGAGCTCGATCGGGTCGATAGTGAGCGCGTGGCGCGTGCCCAAAAAGTGCAAATTCGCGTCATAGACTTTACATGTATAAATCGGCATGCGAACTCGGGCGAAAACGGCTAATTTTGGCCGACACGGGTCCGGTCCCGGTGCCATATCTTGGTGACTAGGGGTCCGACCGGCACGGGGAAAACAGCATCGTGTAGATAATTGAACGGGCTATCGAATGGTATGCGGTGCAGGGGATGCCACGCGCCACGTGCACCGAGGAGGGCACTTTTATGTGGAAAATTGACGTTTTGGACGGATTTGGGAATTTATTTATTTTCAGGTGACCGTCAGACGGAGCGAGTTGAAACAACGGCTATTAGCAATAATAATGTACCGCCTCTCATGGAAAAATTGTGAAAAGCTGATTGATCCAAATCAAGGTGGTACAAATCACGGGAGAAAATGGTGTTTGTCAGTTTTGTGCCACTTTGTTTACCAAAATGGTTTTGCTCCATGATCTGATATCTCTGGCAATTAAAAATGGCACCGTTGGAAAGAGCATTTTATTCTGTCCAAGGTTCACTCTTCATTTTTGCATGATGAGCCACAGTATCTGTGACCATCTGAGGCCCGACTCGGTGACAACCCGCTCGTGTCAGTGCTGCTGTGTATTAGAAAATAAAAACAGGCATGATGGACTGAAGGTAAACCAAATATAACATAAATGAGTTGGTGTTTGAGACAGGTCGACGCGGGTGTTCCGAATGGTTTGAGCTCGTCACAGTCTAGCAGATCGTTCCTGGCAGTTGGCACTGTGCCAAACTAGGCATCCTGCAACACAAGAGAACACTATTTCAACCATTCGGCCTATCTGATATCTCTACACGCTATACAAACGGTTAACAATACATTGGCTCTCATGAATACATACATCTGGTCATAATCATATACAATATTCATCATAATCTCACCACTGGCCCTTCCGCGGCCACGCGTAGGCTCAAAAGAAAGAAAATGCGCAGCTGACGCGTGTCCGGAACACGAAAATACACTTATTGCGCGCGAGTTTCGTTTACGCCGCGATACAGTGCAACTAAATTATAAGCGTCGCAGGACAGTGCTACTGAATCATTATCGCGTGTCACAACACCCTCCCCCGCCAGTGTTCACACACGGGAACACGATATCGACCTGAGTCCAACAAGTGCTTCTGAGAGCGGTGGGACAAATCACAGCGATCGACACAGCCAGCTAACACTTCTTCGGAGAGCTCTGCAGAGGCAGTCGGTTGACCTGTACGGTTGACCTTGCAGTCATCAGGAGCAGAGTCGGCAGCTCACAGCGGTCCATCCACGGTACTAGAATCAGCGAGCCTTGAGGCAACATTCCACTAGTCTCAACTTCATACACACTGGTATGCTAACTCAGCAGGCGTCGCTGTCTGAACGCAATAACTAAACGCATCACTTAATCACGAGTAACATATTCACTGAGCGCGGCGAGTCGATCACGGATTACGCGAACACGGGTGAAACACCGGATTGTCTCAATCACTGAGGTAAGTCTCTCTTCTTCACCGGAATGCAGTGTACGACGGACACTGACGGGCAGCAGTCGCGTCTCCGGCGTCCCTCTGAAGACCGATACCGCCACCGGTTCAGCGGCTCGGGCGCCGCCCACAACCAGGCGGCCTGGGTATAACCAGCAGCAGGGCGCGGCGGCCGCAGCGCGCCGGCGCCGGAGGCAGCAGGTGAGCAGCAGCGACAGCAGCGCACGACGAGCCGGCGGCAGCAGCGCGCGCCGGGCCAGCCGGCAGCAGGGCGCGACGGGCGCAGCGCGCCGGCGCCGGAGGCAGCAGGTGAGCAGCAGCGACAGCAGCGCACGACGAGCCGGCGGCAGCAGCGCGCGCCGGGCCAGCCGGCAGCAGCGCGCGCCGGGCGCCATCAGTGACGGGCCGGCACACGCGCCACCAGTCGCCGGGCGTCATCAGCGCCCTCTAGTAGACACAGCTTGTGTGCGGGTCTGGTGAAGGTGCCGCTGCGAGTCTTGACTTCGGCTGATCGGACTCGCCCGTCCGATCCCGGGAAGACTTTGATGATCCGGCCCAGAGGCCAGTCACCTCTTGGAGTGTTGTAGGTGTCTGCCATCAGCACGACATCACCTTCTTGCAGATTTCTGCTCTCTTGTCTCCATTTCTTTCTGTCAGCCAGAAATGGTAGGTATTCCCGGCGCCATCTGGTCCACAGATGGTCTGCCAAGATCTGTGTCTGTCTCCATCGTCGTCGTCCGATCAGGTCACGGTCATTGAAGACTCCTGGAGGTAGTCCTTCTCGAGCGTCAGTAGCACCCAGCAGAAAGTGGTTGGGTGTCAGTGGTTCTGGATCTTGTGGGTCGCTACTTACGTAGGTGAGAGGGCGACCATTCACCATGAACTCTACTTCAGCCAGGGCGGTGAGAAGAACGTCCTCGGAGACGCACTGGTTGCCGAGCACTACTCTGAGGGCTCGTTTGACGGTCGCAACCAGGCGCTCCCACGAGCCTCCCATGTGAGGAGCTGCAGGCGGGAGGAACACCCACTTGATGTTGCTCTGACTTAGCGTGTCGGTGATGTGTTCTTGATTCCAGCGTTCGATCTGGTCCCGGAGTTCTCTTTCACCTCCAACTATGTTAGTCCCATTGTCGGAGTAGATCGTTTGAGGCTTGCCTCTGCGAGCGATGAACCGTCTCAATGCCATCAAGAAGCATTCAGCGTCCATTGAGACGGTCATCTCCAGGTGCACGGCTCTGGTTGCGAGGCAGGTAAGCAGTAAGACGTACCTCTTTTCCGTCTTGCGGAACTTCTTCACTGTCAGTGGGCCGAGATAGTCTAGACCCACTGTGCTGAAAGGTCGTCTCATGTCAAACCTCGCTTCTGGCAGGTCAGCCATCCTGGGTGGCTGAGGGGTGGCTCTGCGGTTGCGGCAGAACGCACACTTCTGTAGCTGCTTCTTGACTGTAGATCTCATCTTCTCCACCCAGTACTTGGTTCGAACTTCACAGAGAGTTCGTTCCAAACCGGAGTGAAGAACTCGCTTGTGCGCGTCTGTGATGATCAGTCTGGTGATCTCGCTGTCAGCTTGCAGTATGACTGGGTGGCGCGTGGGCTCCGCCAGCGGAGCCTGGCCGAGGCGGCCTCCCACTCTCAGCAGTCCACGGCTGTCATGGAAGGGTGACAGGTGGGAGAAGTGCTGAGGTGATGAGAACCGCGGTTTTCTCTGCTCTGTTCTCAGAATGCAGAGTTCAGCTGCCTCGATCTCTGCACTTTGCAGAGGTCCACTGGTCCCTGCTGTCCCAGAGACCTTACTTCTCGCGTTCTTGATGAAACGTTGCATCCACGCAACGACGCGGCGGAACTTCAGCCATGATGAGAACCGCGCTGGATCTGGAATTGCTGAATCAGTAGGTAGCTCTTGAGTCTGGACGCGACTTGCCGCTTGCAACGTACAGACGGTTGGTCGCTTGAGCTCTTTGCAGTCTGCACTGAGCTCTCCTGCGTCGCTCTGTGGAGGCCAGAGCTCTTCACTGTGTCTGAGGAATGACGGGCCGTCCCACCAGTCTTCCTCCTTGAGTGTCGACAGAGATTGACCTCTGGAGCATAGGTCTGCCGGGTTCTCTGTCCCTGGAACATGGAACCACTGTTCTGGGCTCGTAGACTCGTGGATCTCGGATACACGATTAGCCACAAACGTGTGGTATCTTCGACTCTCGTTCTTCAGCATCTGCAACACGACGCGGCTGTCCGTCCAGAAGAAGATTCTGGTGAAGTTGTAGTCTATCTCTTTCTTGATGGTGGTAGCCACTCTGGTTGCCAGTACGGCACCTTGAAGTTCGAGACGAACTATGGAGAGCTGTCTCAGCGGAGCCAGTCTCGAGCGGGCCATGACGAACTGACAGTAGCTGGTACCATGCGACAGCACTCTGACGTATAGGCTATCGCGCCGAAGGCGTGCTCGGAGGCGTCACTGAAGAGATGTAGCTCGTACTGAGCTTCTGACTCCTGACCCTGAGCGCGATACCATCTCGGGATACGGACTTCTTCCACGTACTTGAGGTCTTCTTGCCAGCGGATCCAGCTGCGGAGCTCGTCTCCGGTCAGAGGCTCATCCCAGTCGAACTTCTCTCGCCAGAGGTCCTGGATCAGCTTCTTGGCGAGTAGAGTGAAGGGTGTCAGCATCCCCAGGGGATCATACACTGAGGCAGCTTGCTTCAACACCCCTCTCTTCGTGGCAGGTACTGAGAGTCGGCTGATCTTGACGGAGATTGTGTCGTCCTCTGGGATCCACTTGCATCCCAGCACTGTGCAGTACGGGTTCCCTGGAGAGCGGTCTTCTTCTTTCAGTACTCCCCGTTCCTGGTCTGGAACGTCTGACAGCACTGTCTTCTCACTACTAACCCACTTCGTCAGATTGAAGCCCCCGTGGGTCAGCAGACTTGTCACTTCTGTCTTCATGATTCTGGCTGCTTCTACGGACGCTTCAGACTTCACAAAGTCGTCCATATAGAAGCTAGTTGACACTGCTTCTTTGGCGATCAGAGATTCCGCTGTCCCTGAACAGCCATCTTCTGCTGTTTTCTGTAGGACATAGTTCGCGAGCGATAGCAGGACTGCATTTCGCACCGAAGATCGCGACGAGCATGCGGTACATGTCAGGCTCTCGCGACGAGTCGAGGTCACGCCACAAGAAGCTCAGTGCTGGCTGGTCTTGTTCACGGATCTGGATCTGGTGAAACATCTGTGTGATGTCGGCCACGATCGCGACTTTCTCCTGTCTGAAGCGAAGAAGAATCCCGACCAGATTCTGGAGGAGGTCTGGGCCCCTCATCAGCTCGCTGTTGAGAGACACGCCCAGATGGGAGGCCGCTGCGTCGAAGACCACTCTCAGCTTGGGTTTGTTGGGGTTGACTACAGCGTGATGAGGAAGTAGCCAGAGCTTCTCATGCGGTTTCTCAGCTTCTTCCCTGGGCAGCTTTCGCGCGTGACCGGCGTCGACATACGCTCGGATCGCCGCTCCGTAGGCTTCAGCTTTCTTGGGATCCCGCATCAGGCTCTTCTCCAGCTTCTTGAGTCTCCCCATGGCGGTGGCTTGGTTTTCCGGCATCTTGACGTCTTCATTCTTCCACAGGAGGCCGGACTCGTATCGGTTCTCTCCTCTCTTGACGGTGTCGTTCAGGATTTTGATGCTCCGCTGATCTTCTGCAGATGATTCGTTCACGTCACAACGCGTGCCGAACGCCTCCGTGGTCCACCACTCCTCTACTTGCTGCCGGAGGAGGAACATGACTTGTCGATGGTTTGTCGAAGCAGGAGTGAAGCCGGCGATGGTGCCTGTCAGGGACCAACCGAAGGCCGTTCGGACTGCTACCGGCTCTCCGGCGCTGCCGATCCTCGCCTCTCTCTGTAGCACTGCTTCCAGTACATTTGCACCCAGGAGAATCTCTACGGTCCCTCTGGTGCAATCTGGTAGTTGCAGTCCGTGGAGGTGCCTCCACTTCTCCCAGTTTCTGATCTTGTTAGGGATTTCTTGGACGCGCACGTTAACTCTTGGCACCGAGAAGGCTTCAGGGACGAAGATCTTGCAGTGAGGGTCTTCCCCAGCACAGAGAGGACTCAGAGTCAGCTGAACTCGGGTGGTCCTTCTGGTGCTTCCCCGACCTTCTACGTTCTCGATGCAGAGTTGCTGTTGATCTCCGGTTAGGTTAGCATCACGGACGAGCTGGTCTGACACGAGGCTGGTCTGTGACCCTGGATCGAGTAGCGCCAGCGTGTCTCGGTAACCGTCCTCGGTGTGAACGCGCACAGGTACCACCTGCAGCAACGTCACGCTCTCCGAGATCCGCTCCCGCTCTGTGACTGCGGCCACGACTCTGTGCTCGTTGTCTCTCGCTGGTGATGTCACTCGTTTGCTGCCATGCAGCAGCTGATGGTGCTTCATCATGCACCCGTCGATTCCACAGTCTCTCTTGAACGCGCAGGTCTTGATCCGATGTCCTCTCTTGAGGCACACGAAGCAGGTGCCTGTCCTCAGCACGAGTTGAGCTCGCCGATCAGCGTCCAGTTCTTGGAATGCTGGACACTCCTTCAGTGGGTGAGCTCCTTCACAGCACACACAGTGCTGCGTCTGGCTCGTGCTGGTGGTTCCTGTGGTCAGTGTAGCTCGCGTCTCTGATACTGGTTTCTGTCTTGGGGCTTTCTGCGCTGCACCTGGGCCTGGGATCCAACCTCCTTGCCTTCGGTCTTGGCGTGTCAGAGTCACTGAAGCCAGCTTCTGGGTGATCCTGACCTGCTTGGCAAGCCACTGGTCGAACTCTGTCAGCGAAGCACGGCGAGGCTCCATCTCCACTGCATGTTCACTCCACGCATACTTCATGTCCTGTGGCAACTTCTCGATCACTCTGCGCAGGTTCTCTGTACTATGGAGGTCTCCGTCATACTCAAGATTCTGCAGAACTGTCACTGCAGAGTGCACGGCTGAGTGGAATCGCTCCAGTCCCTGCAGGTCTTGGTTTGAAGAAGGTGATGGACTTCTGAAGATCGCCTTCATGTTCTCCTGCACGATGTCTTCTTTCTTACCGAAGCGGTCTTCAAGCGCTCTCAAAGCATCTTCATAGAGCCGTCCTTCATAGAACATGCCGCTGATGATCTGTTGAGCTGGTCCTGCAACGGCACTCTGGAGGTGGACCATCTTCTCTGTAGAGTTTAGGGGCTGGTCATGGACGAGGGTTCGGTAGAGAGCATACCACTTGGGCCACTCCCCAGGACTACCACTGAACTTGGGTAGTGTGATGCGTGGGAGACTCCTCAGGAACAACGGTTCAGGCTGCTGTAACTGTGAGGCATGGGTACTCTTCCCTGTCTCTGTGCGATGAGCCTGGTCTGCAGTGGCTGCCCCTTCACCATCGAAGTCTTTCCTCCGGTCCCAGTTCAGGTCGTCCTCTGCTGCTGCGGTCAACCGAACCTCCAACTTGACCAGGTCTTCAGCTTCCTTTGCAGACTGCAACTCATTGTTCCTCTTGAGTTCTTGCTCTTCTCTCTCCCGTTGTTGCCTCTGTTGCAATATCTGTAGTTCTTGCTGTTTTAGCTGGAGGGCTACTTCCGCTTTCCTGACAGCTCCTGAGGCCTGAGACTTCTCAGCATCTGAAGCCACCGAGGGTGGCTCGCCTTGCCTTGACTTGAGATAGCCCTGAGCTCGCTCATATGCATCATCATACTGCTTTGTTGCCGAGGTTATGTATTCATCCGCCTCTTGTAGTAGCTCCTTATCCTCTGGTACTGACATCTTTAGTTCATCATTCACTTCTTCAACACATTGCAGAGCATCATCGAGTTCCTTCATCATGGCCATTAGTTGTGTGCGGGAACCTCGACTGCTGATGAGGACAGACATCCGCCTTCTTACTCTGGTAAGCCTGCACAACATCTGGCCACGCTTCTGCTTCAGGCGACTCGTTGTCGAAGACATGATGATGAATTCTGGTGGTCTGTGTGTGTGCTTATTCTGATGTGATGTAACAAATGTTAGGATATATACAATGTATCAGGACTGAAATTGTGTCAGAATCTAGTATTTCATACTGAGACAGAAGGGAAAGGATCTGGTAATTCAGGATTGACATGTGAGAAATAACATGACAACTGACATGAAACTGTCACTCCGAAACTGCATCTTGAAACTGTCATTCAGAATTGACTTGCGTAACTGACATACAATTCTGACATCTTGAAACTGCTTGAAAGCTTCATTCGGAACTGTGACCATCTGAGGCCCGACTCGGTGACAACCCGCTCGTGTCAGTGCTGCTGTGTATTAGAAAATAAAAACAGGCATGATGGACTGAAGGTAAACCAAATATAACATAAATGAGTTGGTGTTTGAGACAGGTCGACGCGGGTGTTCCGAATGGTTTGAGCTCGTCACAGTCTAGCAGATCGTTCCTGGCAGTTGGCACTGTGCCAAACTAGGCATCCTGCAACACAAGAGAACACTATTTCAACCATTCGGCCTATCTGATATCTCTACACGCTATACAAACGGTTAACAATACATTGGCTCTCATGAATACATACATCTGGTCATAATCATATACAATATTCATCATAATCTCACCACTGGCCCTTCCGCGGCCACGCGTAGGCTCAAAAGAAAGAAAATGCGCAGCTGACGCGTGTCCGGAACACGAAAATACACTTATTGCGCGCGAGTTTCGTTTACGCCGCGATACAGTGCAACTAAATTATAAGCGTCGCAGGACAGTGCTACTGAATCATTATCGCGTGTCACAACAGTATCCTTAAAAATGTAAATGTTCCAAACCATTATTTATTGAATGTGTTTTCGGCCAAAAGAAGAGCATTTCAATTTTCTCCCAATGACTTATAATGGAGGTCGCAAACGGCAAAATTGACCTGACATTTTGCGGTCCCGTAGCTCAGTTAGTCGAGCATTGGACTCCGCGTGGTGAGAGCACGCATTCCCGGTTATAACAGTACGGGTTCGAAGCGCGACGGGCGCTTGACATGGGCCTCCTGACAGGTATGATTGCGGTTGGTGGCACGCCGTAGCCAGGCGAAATCAGTGAGGGGACCGGCCGTGCGCGGCTATGTGCGCACGTTAAACTTTGGACTAAATTCTGCCATAGAACTGGAATTGCGCGATCGGAGGGTAGAGGGCAGGGTCACCCAGGGCGTATTTTAACATGTTAACTGGGTCGGCAATTGCCGACCCAGTCACGGAGAATACCGACCCAGTGACAGCCGTTTGCCGACCCAGTTGCCGCCCCCTCTAGGATGCAGCACGCACATGCAGGCTAGGTGCCGTCATTCATAGTGAGGCTGCTGCCCTCCGAAATGATAATGCCGCCTCTTAAAGTAAAGCAGCCGTCTATAGAAAGTGATGATCCCACAACTCAATGTGACAGTGCCGCCCCTAAATCTGTTAGTAGTCCCACTCAATGTAATGGTGCCGCCCTTTTAAGCATCTGTGGAGCCCCTCAATGTGATGATACCGCCCCTCAAGAAGATGATGCCGCCCCTTTCAGTATCGGTGGCGCCCCTCAATGTGATGGTGCCGCCCTCAAAGTGCCGGTGGCGCCCCTGAATGCGATGGTGCTGCCCGCCAACGAGTCGATGGCGCCCCTCAAAATGATGCTGCCGCCCCTTAAAGTGTTGGCGCCGCCCCTTATAGTGTCAGTGACGCCCTTCGAAGTGTCGGAGGAACCCACCAATATATGTAATGGTGCCGCCCCTCTAGATATCCACATAGCCCCTCATTGTGATGGAGCCGCCCCTCAAGCAGATGATGCCGCCCCTGAATGTGATGGTGCTGCCCGCCAACGAGTTGGTGGCGCCCCTCAAAATGATGCTGCCGCCCCTTAAAGTGTTAGTGCCGCCCCTTATAGTGTCAGTGACGCCCTTCGAAGTGTCAGAGGAACCCACCAATATAATGGTGCCGCCCCTCTAGGTATCCACATAGCCCCTCATTGTGATGGAGCTGCCCCTCAAGCAGATAATGCCGCCCCTCAAGAAGATGATGCCGCCCCTTTCAGTATCGGTGGCACCCCTCAATGTGATGGTGCCTCCCTCAAAGTGCCAGTGGCGCCCCTAAATGTGATGGTGTCTCCTGTCAACGAGTCGGTGGCACCCCTCAAAATGATGCTGCCGCCCCTAAAAGTGCTGGTGCCGCCCCTTACAGTGTCAGTGGCGCCCTTCAAAGTTTTGGAGGAACTCATCAATACAATGTTGCCGCCCTCTAACTTTCTGTAGCGCCCCTCCATATACATAATGGTACCGCTTCTCAAACCATCCGTGGCGCCCCTCAAAGTGATGGTGCCGCCCCTTACAGTGTCGGTGGTGTCTCCTCAAAAGTCAAGGTGCCGCCTCTCAAAGAAATGCTGGTGTCCCTCGAAGTGTCGGAGGCGCTCCTCCATGTCATGTTGCCGCCCCTCAAACCTTCCGTAACGCCCCTCCACGTCATGGTGCCACCCCCCAATGTGCTCACGGCGCCCATATATGTGATAGTAACGCCGGTCAAAGTGCTCCTGGCAGTGTCGGTGGCGCCCCTTATAGTGTCGGTGGCGCCCCGAACAGTATCGGTGGTGGCCCTCAAAGTGATGATGTCACCCTCAAACAAACGGTGGCGCCCTTCGAAGTATCGGAGTCCCTAAATATCATACCTATTGCCGCCCATTAACGATCTGTAGCACCCCTCCATATGATGGAGCCGCCCCCTTAAAGTATCCATGGCGGTCCTTAAAGTTACAGTGCCGCCCCTTACAATGTGGGTGGCGTCCTCAAAATAAAAGTGATGTTGCCCCCCCCGAGTAATGTTGGCGTCTCTTTCTTCTCGGAGGCGCTCCTCATTGTCATTTTGCCCCACATCACTGCTCACATGGCGCCCTTCAATGTAATGGTGCCACCCCGCAACGCTCAAAGACATAATTGCGCTCCTCACAGTGTCGGTGGCCCTAAAAAAATTGGTGGCGCGCCTCAAAAATCAAAATGATGCTGTCGTCCCTTAGCATATCTGCAGCGCCCCCAAAATGATAGTGCCTTCCCTTAACCGGCGCCGGGCTGAGTTTGTTTAAACCCCCCTCCCGACCCCTATAACTTGGCTACTTAGGCCACGTAGCGACACGCGGTAAGCGGTATTCGAAAGAGTGTCAAAAACTGCTTGGGTTAGTTGGTTAAAGGGACCCTCCCACCTTCAAAAAAGTTAATGAATTGGCATGAAAGTGATGTCGCTCGGTTCAGAAAGAGCAAAAACGAGTATCTACCAAATTTCATCGAAAAATATTCACCGGTTTTCAATGTATTAGACTTTTACTTTTGTTTACTTTTTGGGATCCCCGCTGTTCCTAGCGACTTTATTTGAAAGTGCGGCATTTGTTGCGCGCAAAGCAGCATATACCACCGCGTGCTACAAAACGTTTTAGTCAAACATTTAACGGACGTTCGAAAGCCTGATGACGTCATCAGATTCCCGTAATGGTTAAGAGATAGGGACCACGCTGGTCCCACCCTGCAAGTAAAGGGAAGAAATTTCTTGAACACCATAAAGCTGCGGGGGTTGCGACCAGGATAAATGGTGGTTTCTGAGCCTGGCCGCAAACTTGGCTATCTCAACTCAAAACTAATGTTAAGGTGGGAGGGTCCCTTTAACCGTGCTTTGGTTAGGTCAAGTCAAATGTCAAATATCAGGTGACCAGAGGTCATCAAAGGTGAAATGTGGGTGAAATGTTGTCTGTTTCAACATTTATTGACAAACTGGCGCATAACTCGGGGAAGAATAGAACTACAGCACCGCGAAAAAGCGCATTCGATAGTTCTTCAACGTTCCTATGAAGTCCTCAGACTTGACCTAACATCAACGGCTTAACCTACAGAGCACAACTTGTTTAACCCGTGCCGGGCCGGGGAGGGTTGGAGGGGACAGTGGACCCCCTGCGCCCCTCTACTGAGCTGTTTTAATGAAGAACCTTTTTACTGTAATAATTATTGACTCACGAAAGTTATGACATTGGTTTTTCAGTACTGTGCTCCTCTCGTCGAGATGCGTCGAATGAACTATAATTTGACATTCAAACGTCATTTGGGAAATTTGAGCTCAGGTCCAGGTCATGACCTGGCTGGTAAAGGTCATGTTGCATATCAGTCGATTTGTATCGTCAAACTGAAATCATCTATGTAAGGTGTTTTCATCGCTCAGGCATGTCGCATGTCTCTATCAGAAGTTATTAGAAAAAACTGCTGGAGGCCTACCATGACCTGACATGACCTCAAGGACATAACGAGGTGTCGTGGGTGGCAATTTTCCGATTAAGTGTGTCATTTTTAATTGTTTTCTGATGTTTAAATTCGTTAACTTTGACATTTGTCTACCTATAAAAAGAGGCACATGCCCTGATTTTCTCCCATTTCCTTTTACCTAATGGAAGGGTCGCAAAATTGTCCTTACATTTGGTCAGAGACATCGCAATTTCGAGACTTACATTTAACCCTCGCCAATTGATGCAACCCCCCTAAGGTTTATCGCGAATACCTAACTCACGTAAAAAGCGGCCGATTGCAACGAAACTTTCAGTACCCTCGAATTGATCAATTTTACACCTACCCTGCAAATTTTATGACCCTGACTTCAATGACCTTTTACCTGTGACCTCTTTTCCGTGACCATGTTTGGCCGAAATCAAGATTCGGCGTATGTCGGCTCGCATTAACCGCGCGTTTGCAAGCTTTTCGTGGTTTCAAACGTTCAAACATGTGATTTGATGTTGCTCCCATGCATTAGGGTGGGTGTCAAGGTCACCTGAAGGTCAGGTCAGGTCATTGACCTTTGGTGACCTCGGTTTACTTTTTCGAGTTTTACATGTTTCTAGGCTAGTTTTTGGAGCAGAATTCGAATTTAGCAACCATTTAAATATTTACGAAGTAGTTTTGGTGCCTTCGTAACATGTTACGAAGCTGTCAGAGGCGGATGACAGGTACTACACTACGAATACCCGGTACGACCCCTACCGGTTGACCTGACCTGACCTGACCTGACCTGACCTGACCTGACCCGACCTGGTCTAAACGCTTAACGACATCATCTGTGATCAAAACTAACACGATATTTGTGATCAGCACCCCGGAAAACCCCTTAGCAGCCACAATTTACGACTTTCAAACAGGTCCCGATATTCCCGATTTTTGGGTCATTGACCTGACCTGGAAGGTCAACCGATGACCTAGGACCTTGAAATTGGGTATCATTGGCTTCCTCTCGTGACGGGCAACACGCTCGTTTTTCCTGCGAAGCTCTAGCTCCATCAGGGGCCAAACGCGAGGGGGGGGGGTCGTACCAACCAACCTTGTGCCGTCGAAGGACTCAAAATGGCCTGTGCCGGCGAGGGTTATATATACAGTTACACACTGTTTGTCTTATCAATCGCTGAAGTTATAAAGGGATCGTTCAGTCGGTATATCTATGGTGAGCATTTGCCTGTTCCGTGGCTCTGTTGGTAGAGCACCGGACTCCCCGCATTGTCTTCGCTTGCGTTTTGTCCGCCGGCCGAGCCGGAGAGAAAGTTACCGAGTGAAGGTCATTCAAATTTCAAAAACTCAATGACAATGTCACTGGGGTCACGAAAATGTTTGAGTAGGTAGGTATAACATTCATTAACCTGGGGGGGGGGGAGGGATGAATGTATCGTTGCAATACGCTGTTCATTACGCGAGTAACTAATAAATAAAAAATGTATGAGTTAATCCTTACTCCACACGCTCTCCCTCTCCAT